GTCTATATGTATGTAATTTCAATGAAAGCTAACTTTCTATGCTTAGTTTCAACGAAATAATCCTAGGACAATGACTATTCCTCTATCAGATATAAAGATATATATTTGAATGTGAGATTAAAGCATATTTCTAAATAATTTAAATTTTTCTAATTAAATTTTTATTCCAACCAAAACTGTTTATAAGTTTTGAATTAGGACATAATATAATATGGAGCAGAAATCATTGCTGTTACTATTATTATTCAATAATAAATTACTTTTTATTTCTTTATTATTATTTATTATTACTTTATTATGCAGACTATCAAAATAGCTATGTGACTTATTTTCTGTGAAATAAATATTTGAATTAGTCAACTTTGAAAATCCTTTCCAATTCCACCATTTGGAGATTCTGAGCTTTACTCTCCAGTTAAGCCACGGAATATCTATCTACCACACACTTCCGATAAGATCTTTGAGATTACTTACTTTAATCTTATTTTGTAAAAAATAAAAAAAGTGAGGTGAAAAGTGGTGAAATTATCTTTTTAATATCACAAAGAGCAAGTCGTTTGCCATGTGTCAGAGAGAATAAATTCTTAGCCAAGTCTCATCTATTTAAGTACTTACCCCAACTTCTATCATATAGATTTCTTGCTTTGTTTGCTATTTTGAATTATTCCTGGAAAAGTCAGTGAGTTGAAAACTCTGCCAGATTGGATACTAAAGGCAATTTTTAAAACTAACCATACACTAATTACTTTTTCTTAGCTAAAAAAAAAATATTGTATTCACCTGTTCTATGATGCACATTTTTCCATTTTATGTCTAATGTCAGGATGAATTTTACAGACAATGGTTAGTTATTTTCTACGGGCAGCAGTTGTTATGTAGGCAATATTGGCAATATTTCTTAAGCTTGTTTGAAAGTAGTTATAGCTGTCATTGCTTCGACTAATTTATATGCACTCTATACTACATGTGTTGAGTTTGTTGTTCACTATTTCTCCAGATTTCATTACTACTCAGTATTAGAACAAAAAGTTATTGTCTAAAAAGAAAGTAAAGGAAACAGCAACAAGAATTAAATTTTACGTAGTTATGGAAATATTTGTTGTTGAAGCAATGACTATAATTCTATATTTCCTTGGTAATCAACAGCTGACTAATTTATATGGCCTGGATTTTTATGTCATCCAAGATCCAGGAGTGTCAGCATCACCAAGGATCTTATTATAAATGCAGAATCTTGGGTTCATCCCAGATCTGAATCAGAATCTGCATTTTAACAAGATCCCAACATAATTCATTTGCACCTTAAAGTTTGAAAAGCAGCATTTAAT